GGGGGGGGGGGGGCGGTAAGCGGCAAGCGCACCAATCTTGTCAAGCGCTGGGTCAAAGCCGGCCTCGACGACGATCATCACGTCCGGCTCGGCTTTGATGATGTCCGCCACAGTGACGCACGCCCAGGAGTTCTCGCGGTCTTTGAAGAGGTTGGTGAAGCCTGCCTCCTTCATGATCATCTGGGGCGCGCCCCCGCCAGAGCCGACGAAGACCGACAGCTCCGGCTCCTGATCGCAGCAGGAGATGCAGTCCAGCCAGACCGCGGTGAGAGAGTGGCCGGCGGCCTTCTGCAGCGTCTGTTGGGCGATGACGAAGTCCGCCTCGATCTCCTTGACGAGCTGGCTGGCCACGGTCGGCACGTTGAAAATCTCGCCCATGGTCTTGATTGTGTCGTACAGGGTGTCTGGAATCGGCGGCGCCCGCAGGGTCTTGTCCTCGCACGAGACGGCCGAGAGGAAGGTGCCGATGCCTTTGTCGTGCAGCTGGGGCGGCACCAGCTCTCGATCTCGTCCTTGCGCTCGTAGCCGGGAGCCTTGCCCTTGTCGATGTACGTCTTGTTCTCGCCGGCGGGCCAGAAGTCCGAGTTCTCACCGCCGCATTCGCCCACAGACGCCCACTGCCGCAACGTGTCGTTGTTCCACGCGTACTCGGAGAAGGCGCTGCTCCAGTCCGCAAAGATGTAGTCCGCGTTCGCGGCGAGCACCTGGAGCGAGAACGAGCATTACGTCGTTGGGTACGAGGCGTGCAACAACTGCGGCGTGCCGTGACCTCCGCGTCGCTCGGGTACGATTTCCCATCCGCGCCGCTCATGACCGGGACGCTGTTGTACGCGTCTTTGTACTTGGGCCAGATCGGGTCGAGGACGGAGGTGACGCCGCGTGTGCCGACGATGCGGTCCTGGAGGCCCATGGAGAGCATGAACTTGAGCGAGCCCTGGTTCATGGTCACGACCTTCTCCGGGGTCGTCTGAAGTGTCTTCTCGACGCCGCAGTTAGTGTAGGTGACGGGGAAAGCACCCGACGCCTGTAGCGACGGACGGGGAGGGGCGTCAGGGACGGTAAGGAACTTGCGTGCTGCGGCGTGTGCTGGGTCGGCACCGCGAGAGCAAACTGGGACAGCATGATGAAGGGGTGTTCAATGCGTTTGCACTTCGGCTGCTCGATTGCGGCGGTAACGCATGAGCACGCCTTCAGCAAAGGCAGCGTGTCCCGGGGGGGGTAGGCCTTTATTTTGTGCCTTTCGTCTACCTACCTACTTGTCAACTCGTGTAAGAAGACTGTTTGAGCTTGTGCGTCTTGGGTCCGGGAGATGTTTCCGGGGCGAGGAGGCCTCACAGTTGTTTTTTGAGACGTAGGTAGACGAATCCTACTCTGCTAGGAACTAAAGGCCGCGTCCTATAGGATTCCTATTGCAATACACGCTGAGCCATGCTACAAACCCCTACAATGTACAACAAAAAGTGGCGCAGTTCCTCTCGCGCAAGTGTGCATACGAGCTTCGTGTCTCCCGACGATGCACTCGGCATACTCCGGCAAGCGGCCACGAGGCGAGCTCACCTCTTGGGCTCACACCTCACCTTCCTGATTGCCACTCGGCCGCCCCCTCCGCAACTCGGCGACCGCCTCGCCAAGAGTAGCCGGCACTGCCACCTCCGCCCCCGCCGCCCCCGCGCTCGCTTTCTCGGCGGCGTCGATCTTCTCGGGCGCGGGGATGGCGGAGTCGGAGCCGGGGATGGACGGCAGCCGCGCCGTGTCCGCGCCGAAGAGGCGCCTCGCCGACAGCCGCGTGCGGGCCCGCCTGCTCTGCGAGGGCGAGGCGCCGTGCGAGGGCGAGGCGCCGCCTAGAGACGCACAGTAAAGAAGATGGGCGGGTGCGCGGCATCTAGGGACGGCGGCACCGCGGGAGGACGCGCCGCTCTCTAGCGACTCAGCCGCGCCCGCCTCCAGCGGGCTCGCGACGCCGGGCGCGCCTAGGCGAGCCAGGAGAGAGGCAGGTGCACACCTCCACATGCCGGTGTGGAGCGCTGGCCTGCCCCCCCCACTCCCGCCCCGCCGCCGCCGCCCCAAAGGCAGCCCCCGCGGCACTGCGAGGGCGAGGGCGCGCCTGCGTGGCTGGCGGCGGCATCTGGTCCGCCACTCGTGTCGACGGTGAGGAGGGTGAAGCCGTCCAAGGCGGAGGCGGAGGCGGCGGGCGGCAGGTGGGGGGCGCCGTGGGAAGGCGAATAGTCGATCGACCCGATGTCGGACGCAGGCGGAGTCGGCGATTCGGAGCAGTCGGAGGCCTGGGTGGCGGCACGGGGCGCAAGACGGGGTCCGCTTCTGTCTCTGGCTTCGCAAGAGCGAGTACCCATAGGTCAGGGGGGGGAGACGGTGCCGTGCAGTGCATTTGCGAGCGGTGCACACGGGATGCGTGTCGTCTCGAGCGCGAGTCGGAGGTAACGGGGCGCCGTATTCCCCTTCTAGGCTCCGTAGGCCGAGTCGGAGTAGGGCACGCTCGACGCCGAGGCCGACGCCGCGGCGGCGGTGGAGGAGGAGGAGCTGCTCGCCTATTCACGTGGTTGCCCGCCTCGACCGAAGGCGGTGCTCCCTCCATCCCCAGGGCGGCGCAGGGGCTGCTCGCCAAGCTCGATGAGAGCAGGCTGGCGAGGTGGCGCGACGACCCCCGCCGTGGCTTCGGGCTGCGGCGCCTGCTTCCCCATGACGGCTCCCCCGCCCACGCCACGACGCTGGTCGTGTCGTCGCGAAGCCCGCGCGCCCTGATCGCGGCACGCACGACTTTGACGGCCGCATCGGCGGGCGTGGCGGCGGCGCGGACGTGCTTCGCCACGCGCTCTTCCGAGAGGGCATCCCAGACGCCATCCGAGCAGGCGATGACCTTTGCGCCGCCCGGCCGCTCGAATGCGAGAGTGCACACGACCGGCGTGGGGTCGACGTAGGCGCAGTCAGCGTCGCCGACGGTACGGCAGACGGCGAGGCCGCCGGGCCAGGCGCGGATGGGCCCCACCCCAAAGTAGCCGTCGTCGCTCCGCGCCTTGGCGAGCCGGGCGCCGCAGGCGACGACGCGCGCCTGCTCCTCGGGGCTGTTGCTCAGCCGGTGCTCGGCGGTCAGGGGTCGATGTCCCGATTCCTCGACGAGGAGGGCGGACGAGTCGCCCACGTGTGCGCACGTCACCTCGCCTCGACCTTCGTTGATCGCCACCACCGTCACACACGCGCCAGCATCGGCGCTCTCTCTCTCGCACACCGCTGCGTGCACCGTCGCAAAGGCGCGGGAGCACGCCGCCTGCAGCGAGGCGGCGTCGGCGGCACCCGCCTCTTTGACGATGGTCTGCAGTAAGGTGTCCTCGCACAGCTGCGCCGCCTCAGGGCCGCCGTGACCGTCTGCAACGGCGAGGAGACAGACGGTCTCGCCGCCAACAAGGGCGGTGAGGTGCATCGCCCGGTCCTCGCCCTTGCAGGAGCGCTGATGTATGGCGGGAGCAGCCATGGGACTGGTGCTGGCTGAGGGGAGCAGCCGGCCGGGCGAAGGGGAGCAGCCGGCGGGCGGCAGGTAGGCCTTCCAAGGGTTTCCTCCCCTTTTCCTTCCCGTTTTCCTGCTATTTTTACCAGCTTTACTTCCTCTTGATCACAGTGGATTTTGGTCACAATTTTCACATCATCGCAGAGCGCACCCGAGCTCAAAAAGTAGCAGGAAGGGCTTAGAAGGCTCTGAAAGGGGCTCCCAGGCACTAAATTTGTCCCCCCGGCCGATGCAAATGTCGTTTTGGGTGTCCGTCCACTGAAAACGGACTCCGGCAAGCACTTTTTTGGCGCCGTGGCCGTGCTCCAGCTCGGCGCGCGCAGCGCGCGGAAAATCGTAAATCGGTGCCATTTTAACTTGGCCTGTATATACTTTTCCGGCAAACAAAAAGGAAAACAGAGGGTCCCCAGCACTTTGCGTTTCCGGAAATTTCCAGGGAACAGAGGGTGTTTGGTGCTCCATTCTGGAAACTCGCGACTTTCCCTGAGTCTGAGAGCTGGTCTGGGGCAAAATAAAATCGAGGAAACCGGCAACATCCCGGGGATTTTTCCAGGTATACCCGCAAAATACCCGGTATTTGGCCTAAAATTTGGCTGATTTTGGGCCCAAACCAGCCTCAGACTCGGCTCAGAGCCCGGAAAATTTGATGGTTTCCCCGGGAAAATAGAGAGGAAAAGAGAGGGTGCTGTAGAGAAAAAAGGAAAGGAAAAGAGACGGGGTGCGAGAGGAAAAGTATATACAGCCTAAATTTTAACCGTTTTCCACGGGGTTTTCTTGTGCATGTTCGGCCTGCCCAGCACCACATGCCTAGGGTTACACAGGAGGACGGGACAGGTGAGCGGCCGCGCGCCGGCCGGCGACGGTTGACGGCCGGCTCACCGGGACCAGGGGGACGGTGAGTCTACTGGCTGGAATCTTTGGGATGCGAGAAATAGTGGCCACGAGAGTTATATCTGGAGTCTTTGCGACATATGAAGGCAATACCAAGCTATCCTCTCCTCAAACAACGCACAGTCTCTAGAGCTGTCAAACGTTAACTTTGGGCCTAACAGTTGCACTATTGTTGGCTGAAAATCCTCAACGTTGTTCAAGTGTTCTCCCCAGCCCATACTGCTAATGTTTGTTACTGTTGTTACTGTTGTTCAGCGGCCAGCAAGCAGAAAATGGCAAAAAACCCGGGTAAAACCCGAAAATACCTGGGTTTTTCCAGGTAGTTTCGGGTATTACCCGCACTGGACGCTGGAGATCGTCGTGGGTCACTGCCAGGCCTTCCTTATTGTTGTTCAGCTGGCCTAACGTTAGCTACTGTTGTTGGGGAGCCCCACTGTTGTTCTGTTGTTACTGTTAACACTAGCAACACTGTTCAGCTCTTAACGTTTGACAGCTCTAACAGTCTCTCACGCAGACACCCCACGGCACGGACACGGCAGCCTGCCACGGACGGAGGCCGCGCCGACCGAGCGTGTGTGTGGAGAAGTTTACCTTACCTTACCTCTCCGAGGCCCGAGGGTTGGTTCTGCGCTCCGGGTTGGCCTGAACAAGCTTTTCCGGCAAACAAAAAGGAAAACAAAGGGTCCCCAGCACTTTGCGTTTCCGGAAATTTCCAGGGAAAACAGAGGGTGTTTGGTGCTCCATTCTGGAAACTCGCGAGTTTCCCTGAGTCTGAGAGCTGGTCTGGGGCAAAATCTGAGGCAAAATTGAGGAAATCGACAAAATACCCAGGCGGTCGCAGGGTAAATTCCAGGTATACACGGGTTCTCCGCAAACTTCCCGGCATTTTGCCGATTTGGCCTAAAATTTGGCTGATTTTGGGCCCAAACCAGCCTCAGACTCGGCTCAGAGCCCAAAATTTGACGATTTCCACGGAGTTTTCCCAAGAGAGGGTGCTGTAGAGAAAAAAGGAAAGGAAAACAGACGGGGTGCGAGAGGAAAAGCTTGTTCAGCCTAAGCCTCCGGGTTTCCCCTAGCTGTGGAACGCCCCCTCTACTCGGAGCTAAAGAATACTCTCCGAGGGTTAGTCCGCGCTCCAGGTTTCCCCTAGCAGCGGAGCGCCCTCTCTACTCGGAGCTAATAAATAAATAAATAAAACGGGCACGCCAAACGAGGGGTGGGAGAGGGACAGGGTCCCCACCTGCACGAGCAGGATCTTGGAAGGACGATCAGGGACACAGGGGAACGGGAGCGGGGAGCGCATCGCGACACGGAGGGGGGCTGGGCAGGGTTCACCCACACGACAGGGTCCCAGGGATTCCTCTCTCGTATAGGACAGGTTGCACCCGGCGGCACGGGGGCAGGCGCGGGCCTCCTACTGGTTGCGCTCTCCTAGTTCTCCTGCTCCTGACAAGGGACAGCGACAGGCTCGCAGCACGGTGGACTCCCTATTCCACTGGCGATCTCTCTCGACTAGCGACCTTCCTCCGGCTTCTCACCAGCAGTCTCTCACTACCACGGGCACACTGACAGAGGCGGCCAAAAGGCTCACGTGGGTGGCAGGGCGGTGATAGGAGTCGCCCACTCCCACTCTGTGGGCTTCGCTAGAGGTGCGGCCCCTGCGCGTGTCCTCGCCCTTGCGTGTGTGTGTGTGTGTGTGTGTGTGTGTGTGTGTGTGTGTGTGTGTGTGTGTGTGTGTGTGTGTGTGTGTGTGTGTGTGTGTGTGTGTGTGTGTGTGTGTGTGTGTGTGCGGGCGCTGTGCGAGCCGCCCTGAACGACCACAATGTTGAGCGCGCTCGAGCACCGAAGCACCGCGAGCGCCGGCAAGCACCACCGCCCCGCGCCTTGGCGTGGGTCGGTAGTACACGATACTCGGAGCTAAAGTGTAAACCATACCCAAGTAAAATTCTTCTTTCCCTTTCGGCACCGCTCCGTAATGAATGCGTTCTTCCTCGCCTCGACGGCCTTCCAGCCCGGTTCGCGTGCGCCCGCCGCGCCGGTGCTGCGGCACGCGTCGCCGCTCGCCGTCTTTCGCACGCCCGGCAGCACTGACCAGGCCGTCGCCGACCAGCAGCGCCGCGCCGAGGCGGCGGGGCTGACGCCGAAAGAGTACGAGGAGGCGACGCGGCGCGCGGCGAAGGAGTACCTCGACGCCTCCGGCGCGCACGCCATGCCCGCCGACGGCTCGGCCGCCGCGCAGCGCGCCTCCTTCCTGCCGCAGCTCTGGGGTGTCGACTCGATCCCGGCTGTGCCCGCCGAGGCGGCGGCCGACGAGGCGCGCGTGCTGGCGACCTTTTACGAGATCGGCGGCCCGCTGACCAGCGTGCTCTCCACATCGGTGGCCAAGCAGCTGCCGATGATCCCGCACGTCGGCATCCGGGTGCACGGCGTGGAGTACTTTTACTCGGACCACATCGAGTGCAGGACGGTGCCGGTGATGGAGGAGATGCTCGGGGACCGGCCGCAGGCGAGGGTCGAGCCGAGAGACCGAGAGACCGAGCCGAGACACTGCCGAGACCGTGAGATCGTGCCGAGGGGCGTGGAGCCGAGACCATGCCGCTCGGCCGCGTGTCTCGTACCTCTGGCTGCGTCCGCAGGTGACCATCGACCTCGGCCCGTCGCTGCTCGGCAAGGACGAGGTCGAGGGCCTCGTCGGCAGCCTCGAGGCCACGTGGGACGCCGACGCGTACCACGTCTTCGACAAGAACTGCGTCCATTTCTCCGACGCGCTCGCCGCGCGCGTGAGCGAGGGCGGGCTGCCGCAGCCGCTGGTGCAGGGCGTGCTCGACGTCGCAGAGCGCATGCTCGACTCGAAGTAACAATTAATCAACACCTCACTCTTAATTAGGCGTGCTCGACGTCTCGGAGCGCATGCTCGACTCGCTGCCGGAGTGGCGGCGCGAGATTAGCCGGGAGTGGCCGAGACTAGCCTCTCGCTGCCCGCGCTCGGCCGCCACGTGATTGGCTTTCTTCTGAGCCTTCTTCTGAGCCCTGTCCGAGCCCTTCCCAGGCGCGCGCTCGGCCGCCGCGTGATGAACGAGGTGACGCGGCTTGTGGTGGTCTCGTGGGGCAAGGCGAGCAAGGAGAAGAAGGAGCGGGTCGCCGACGACTTGGGCGTCGAGCGCGGGGCGTGAGGACCGGGCTAGAGCGCCGCCTTGCCCTTGGCCCACAGCGGGCGGGCGGGGGGCCGGGGGCGCCTTGTCCGCGGGTTTTTTGGTGGATCGCGTGCGGAGTGCGAGTGGCAGTGGCGTCGTGCACTGCTGTGGGGCTAGTCCTCCCCCCGGTGTGACGTGTGTGTCGCCATTTATTTTGGGTTTTGCCCATCCTCCCGCGTTGGCGGAAAGAAAGTGCCAGAGAGCGAGGAAGGAATCCTGCCAAACGGGAATCGTGATACACAGAATTAGCTTATAGCATATAGGACCCCGGTCCCCGCGCGCCCAGTGCCGCAGTGCCGAGTGCGCAGTGCGCCGCCCAGTGCGCACAGATAGAGCGCTCCACACCGCTCCTCTGTCCTCACGAGACCTCAGACGCTCTCCCCTCCGCTGCGCTCCGCTCAAGTCTCTCTCTCTCGTATCTGGTGGTCTCGAGAGAGATCGGAGATCGCGAGTCTACACGATATAGGTTTCATTTTCCCAGATCCCACGTACGGCTCACACCGGCAGGCTGCTATACACCTCGACCCACGGAGGCAGCCGCCAGTACGTGCCATTGTCCCTCCCGCTCGCCCACTCAGCGTAGGCGGTCTCGTTGTCCTCCGGGCAGCTCGTCCGCCGCGCGAGCGCGGCGCACGTCGCCCGGATCTGCGCGCTGATCTCGCGACGCGTGAGGTTGGCGTACCAAGGCACGCGAGCGGGGCGGGGCGGGATGTCGACGCTGGCGCGGCCGTGCTCGGTGAGCCGAAACGCCGCCGCGTCCCCCCTCATCGACTGGCAGCCGCAAAAGGTGTGCGACGCCGTCGAGACTCGCGTGCCGACGAACGCACGCGAGGTCCACTCGCCGCGGCGCTGCGGGTCGGGACGCACTTCGGGCGGCACAAGCCACGCCGCCCAGCCAACCTCGACGGCGGGGTCGAGGACCTCGGCGTACGGCCGGTCGTAGACGTCGGCTGCGCCGCCAAAGCGCAGCGCGCCGACGCCGGTGACGGCCTCGCGCCCGCGAGTCTCCTCGCCTCTCCGCCGCCGCCGCCGCCGCCCGGAGCTGGTCCCGACGACGGCCTGCGAGGGAGCGACGATCCGCGCCTCCCAGCCGTAGTCGCCCGAGGTGGCGTTCCAGTACGCTGTGAAGGGGTAGGCGTAGAAGCCGCCGCCCGTAGACCACGTGCATGGCGACGCGCCGTTGAGCAAGCCGCGGCCGACAGCACGGCGCTCCCCCGCGACGGCGACTGCTGCCGCTGGCGCCGTCTCTGGCGCCGCCTCGACGAACCCTCGCACGACGGAGAGGTAGCTCTCCGGAACCTCGACGAAGGTCATATGCGACGCGTTTGGGAACACCACGACCTCGGCGCCCGGTATCGCCGCCGCGAAGCGCCTCGAAGGAAGGAGGAAGGATGGTGAGCTGCGGCTCTCCCTCTTCTCGAGGTTGATCTCCTTTGGCCGCATTGGGTAGAGCTGCGGCCACACGTCGGCTCTCTCCCGGAACAATCCCTGACATCACGTCTAGATCTCGCCGCGTGGTGTCGGGCGTCGCCTCGTCGAACTCGCCGCACGTGAGCAGCGTGGGCACCTAATTAATAATTAATGATTAATAATTAATAATTATTAACTCTCCGCACGTGAGCAGCGTGGGCACATCAATGCTCGCGAGCTCCGCCGAGCCGTTGTAGTCGCGGAGCACGCCGGTGGAGATGAACTCCGTCGGTCCCCACATGCCCTCGTAGCACCGCTTGTTGAAGAGGCGCGGCTCGAAAGTCGCCGCCACAAAGTCGGGCCACGGGTCCCGCCGGCACAAGTGCCGCCGGTAGAAGAGGTCCGTCGCCGCCGCAAAGGCCTCGCTCGAGGTGTCTCCGGAGGCGAGGCACGCACGCAGCGCCTGGAGGTCAAGGCAGCTGTGGAGTGAGCGTGAGGCGCGGAAGCCAAGGCTATTGGTGCGTAGCGGTCGGTCGCCTCTTGTGCACCCGCCGGCAGGGCGGCGCGGTACACGGCGTTGTCGGCCACCCACCGCCGCGTGTCGATGAGCGGCCCAGAGAGGATCAGCTTGGTGAGGCCCGGCGGCCGCCGTGCCGCGTACGCCGCTGCGATGGTGCCGCCCCACGAGTTTCCGAACATGATGAGGCTGTCGAGGCCGAGGTGAGAGCGCAGCGCGTCGATCTCGGCGAGGTAGCGAGGCACGTTCCAGTTCTTGGGGTCGTTGGGCCACTCGGAACTGCCCGCATCGAGCTGGTCGTAGAAGATGAGTTGCCGAGAGGCAGAGAGCGCCGTGAGCGGGTAGAGGTAGTGATGGCTCAAGCCAGGACCGCCGTGAATGACGAGCATCGGCGGTTCGCCTTTGCGCCGCTCTCCAACGACACCGTACCAAATGCGGCCGCCAGGCACAGCGAGGTGGCCTTGTGAACTGAAGTTAAATTCCGTCGTCGGCGGCGGCACAACGGTGGTCGCGAACTGCGCGTGCCCATCGAGGGAGGAAAGAAACGCAGCGGCGGCGAGGCAGAGGACACACGAGAGGACACACGGGCGCACACGGAGACCAGCCGGCCCACTGTGGCGTCGGACGTCTTGCATGGCGCAACCGAACACAAAAGCACAGCGAGGCCGTGTGAGTGGTCGCCCAGCGCGGCGGGGGGCAGTTTTTCTTCTTGCCGACGCCCTTCTGGCTTCGAAACCTCGAATGTTCGCGCAATGCCAGCCGTCGCTCAGACTGCAAGAAGAGACGACATGGCATCTAATAACAGGCTTCTCTCACATGACAAGCGATCCCACGACAGCGAGTGTGGGGACTACATGATCCGTACGTGAAGGGTGGAGGGGCCCGTCCGCGGAGCTAGGCGGTGCGGGCGCCCTCCACCGCGGCAAGAAGCCGTCCGCCGTTTGCTTGTTCGTGACCCAGTTGGTGCGCATCTTGCGCGCCTGCTTGTTGATGTTTTCGGCGTCGCCCGTCACCGCCGCCATGTAGATAAAAGGAAAATTATTTGTTTTTTAGCAAAGACACAGATCTCGAACGCCAGCCGTCCGAGTTGGCTGACCTTCCGTGCACGCAGTAAATTTTCACTCCCACCCCTGCTGTAATCCAAATCCTGCATCGTCTCGTGTAGAGCTCTACTTGCAGCGGCTCTTGCAGCATTCAACCCGCACTGGATGCCGGGAGGCTCTCGGGCAGCGCAGCGCCGGGAGAGGAAACGGGCCAAGGCGAGCGGCGCTGCGGTGCCTGAAGCCCCGAGCAACAAGTGCGCACGCACACAGGCTTCTGCTTGCTCGGCGGCCACACACGATGAGCCTGCAGCGCCTGCGGTACCTGTAGCAGCGTTTGCGATCAATGCGAGCGGCGCTCCCTCTGCCGAGGCTGGCGCGGCTCCCTCTCCTCCATACCGCGAGTGGCAGATCCCCGCGCCGAACGCCGCCAACGACGACGGGCTCTACGAGGCGCTCCAGATCGCTGTCGATCAGGCTGCGACGATTCACGGGAGGAAGTACCGGTACGGTGCGCTGCTGATCGCCGGCGACGACCACGTGCCGCTCAAGTCGGGCTCGAACAAGAAGCCCTTCCTGCGAGACAACATCCATGCCGAGATGAGCGTCCTCAAAGGCTGCCCTCGCCCCGCCGGCAAGGACATGTTCATCGCGCGCTTGGTGAGTGCTCCGCCTCGCCGCGCCCGGCGGCTGAACGCCTCCTCACTCCTCCTCCCTCCACTCAGGCGCCGACAGCGCCTCCGGCCGAAGGTGCGGCCGCACCTTCCGCCACGCCGGCTGGACGGCGAAAGATTCTGAATGCGATGCCGTGCGATCGCTGCGAGGCGAAGATGATCCGGACGGGCATCCGCCACTGCTACTTCACTATCAACGCGACGACGATTGGGGTGCGTCTGTACAACGCTGACGACCGAGATGGGGTCTAAGCTCTGATCGCGCGTCGGTCTGTGCTATGAATGAGAGCAGAGAAGGTGAGTTGTTGCGCCGACGAGAGAAATAACCGAGGCTAGTGCCATTTCACTGTGACACAGCTCGCGTTACAAAACCTTGATTTGACCATTTGCGCAAAAAGGTACGAGGCTGATCCGGCCGTGTCCCCAGCACAGCTTTGGCTTCGACGGGCGCCTCCCAGGGTGCCCCGGGCGACCGACTCGAGCGGCATGCGGCTTCGGACAGGCCTCGGCCCGGCTCCTGGCGGGTCGCTGAAGCGTCTCAGTCGCTCTCTCTCGGTTGCGCGGTTGCGCGGTTGACGCTTTTTTGGCGCTCACGGCGGGCGGCGAGGCTGGCCTTGAGGTCGCAGCGAGCCGTCCAGACGTCTCACGGTGGCGTCACGCATACGACTCGTGGCGTCGGTCGCCTTGGAGGCGGCGGAGACGTCCAGCGGCGGCGCATTTTGATGGGCACGCCCGGCAGCGCTGCGGGCGAGCGTGCCGCAGGCTGAAGACCTCCCTTGGCGCGGCGCGAGCGGCGCGCACCGCTGCACGAGGGCGCGCGGCGCTGCCGCCGCGATCAGTCGTCACGGCCTGCGCCCGGGCCGGCCGCGCGGTTGGCGTGGCAGCGACCACAGCACATGGTTCGGGGCTTCGGGCGGGCTTCTCGGTATCTTCGGTTCCGCTGCACCGGCGCGTGCGTCCGACCCAGTGAGTCCTGCCGGTGAAGTGTGTGGTGTCCAGCCGCGCGGTGTTGCAGACTACGTCGCGTGGTGTGCTTGTGCGTCGGTAGTCATCGCACGACTCGCAGTCTCGCACTGTGTCCGCACTGCCGGTGCCGGCTGGGTCCGTCGCAGCGCACGCACTCTCCCTGTGGGTCGAGTCGTGGTTTATGCGCGAGTCGTGGTGTGCGAGGATTATTTGACTAACACTCTGATTAATACCCAGCGCGGCGTCTCCCCCTCCTCTCTCGCTCGAGGCACCCGGAGCGAGAGTGTCAAGGACACACACCCATCTCTCTCTCGCGAGCGCACACACACCGACCCCATGTGCCGTGCACGGCCAGCGCTCCCACAGGCGCGGAATGATCCGTCGTGCGCCCCATGTGCGTGCGCGCGCAAGTACATGAAGCAGTTATAGCAGTACCCTACGACACACACCGCCAGAGGACAGCGCGTCCAGCGTCCATCGGGGTGGAGGTGCTGCCGCCAGAGCCCAGGTTGGCGAAGCCGTCAACGATCCACTCTATGAAGCGTGGAGCTGCCGCCAGCGCTGCGGCCTGCGTGCCAAAGTTTCGCGGCTCGAAGGGGGCCGCGCCGTAGGGAGGGTTCGTGGAGCGGGCGACCCACCTCTGGAGCGTAGGCTGTTGAGCGACATCTTGACGTGCGTCTTCGACTTGCGGTAGAGGCACTCGATGTACCACCGGCCTGAGTTGCTGTTCTGCTTCACCGTCGGCGAGCAGCCGAGGTGCGCCACGCGCGGTCGTCGTCAGAGGCAGAAGAGGGCGCGTTGGTCATTTTCGCTATCTGCGCCGCGCGCAATGGGGTGAAGTCACGTGGGATTTGCACGACGCGGCTGTCGCGACGTGCAGAAGTGCGTGGCATGCGGTGTACGAGAGGGTAGGGGGCTGAACGGCTCGGCTCGCGTCGCCATCCCAGCCGCAGCCCTGGATTCTGGCCCGACGCCGAAGCGGCGCGCGCGGCGGCCGGCGCGGCTTGGGAAGGAGGGCGCGCGCCGACCCGTTCAGCCCCTAGGGGACCAGACTATGGCCACCACTAGCCTCGCCAACCGCTCCGCTAGCGTGTCGAGCGAACCTGACGCGACTTCGGATGGCTACGTGGGCGCCTCGCTGTGCTGGCGTTACGCCCGGATCAGCCTCGTAGTG